GAGCTATTGAACTGGTGCTGCTGAAGCATCTCAAATACTTCTGCAACTTTAATGACGAGCTCTTGAGGAACCTGGTGGCCCTTAGAAGTTAGAAGCATCTCCTTAGAAGCATGTCAAAGCACCATAAGGCATCGACATTATCCTCGTACAGCACAACAAAAGGACAGAGCAAATCACACATACATAATGGTAAAACCACATTAAAAAACACAAAGAAAAATATCAGTTTATCACAAAACAGTTTATGTCAAAAACTTCATAGATCAAACTTAGAAAAGAAGAGGCAATTGGACATAAGGCTAATTCCTTGACAGTATACTGTGGCCGGATCAATCCAGGCATAAACAGCAAGAATATCTGACATTCTAGCCATATTTTTTGAATCTCCATAGAATTCAAGTTGACTATCTGCTCTAACTACGTCAACAACTGAAAAATATAGACTTTCAGATTGTATAAACATTGAGGAAACAAGAACAATTTCATGCCAGCATTATAGTTATCAAATTGACAGGTAGGAAGTAGCTTATTACCAATGCGATGGAGCATCCACAACCACTCAGACACTTTTTCATCATGAAAAACTGATCCAATTGATGTGGTTGTTGCTGCCTTAGCTTCCCCCGGAGTATCTAATGTCCATAGTTTGCTAACTGTCTCATTTTTGTATCCATTCTCATTTTGTGTCCTGGCTTATTCTTTAATATATGTACTAAGAACTATAAGAACTGATATATTATAGACCATCATAACGCAATAACAACACTACAGACGCTATCAAATGACCAAAACAATTTAAGGAACAAAAGAATATTGAAAGAATGAATCCATCGTGAGGAACAAATCACTTCAAAATTTATAAGAGATAGACCATTCCTTGAAATGATACATTTAACATAGCACAACCTTCATAACACACAATAAACACTATAAAAACCTCGGTATCTAGATATACATTTAGAAAAAACCCATAATGCTTAAAACTACCAGAAAGGTTAATGTTATAATCCTCTATGCCATCCAGAAAAAAGAATATAGTAAACATTAAGAATTAAAAATGAAGAATTTAGACTAAAGGTCTTAAATAAATTAACCAACACCTTTCTTAATTATAAAATCTGCAGCTATTAATAGAGCACCAAGTTGAAAAATAGAGCCCATACCATTATAAAATTTGCAGCTTAAATAAATGAACCATTGCAATTTGAGGAAGCTTTTTTCATAGCCTTGCTTTACAAACAGCTATCATAATTATGTTTGGCCACAGCTTTTTGGTTGCTTTATAAAATTTATGTGATGAGAAAATCTTTTTAAAAGCTTTTTGGTTGCTTCACAAATAACTACCAAGTGATTCGCATGTAATTATCCCTTTTCTGTTAAAAGCTATATCCGGTTCAATAAGTGAAGCAGCAAGCAGGAGATGAACATACTGAAAATCTGAAATCATATGTTAGTTGAAGTGTTGCAATTTGAATTGCCAAAAGAAACATTATGGGTTATAAAATGCTCCCCAATTCTTTGAAATAATTCTCACCAATTCGCTGAAACGCCATCAAGTCTAAGAAGCTAATGTACAAATTTTGCACAAACATTATGGGTTATAAAAGTACCAAAGGGTCAAACCAAGTGCTTTGCATACGAAAATAATAAAGTACCAAGTGTTTCGCATGTAATTATCCCTTTTCTGTTAAAAGCTGTTTCTCACAAAAAAAAAATAAAAATTCTAAAATGATAATCTGTTTTCCAGCAAATGATAATCTCCAAGAATCAAAGCAAGATAATTTCATAAATTAAGAGCAAGATAACTTCATAAAATACTTCCCACTGCCTCAAATGCTAAATAAATCATATTCTTCTCCTAAAATGGTTGCAAACTTGTATTGCCTTCTAAAATTAAGAGTAAGAATAATCATCTAATTACTCAATTATTAAAGAAGTTATTAGGTAAGGCTGAAGAAGCTTTGATTCTCCAAATTAAGGTGATTTGTGATACCAAAATTACTGCAAGTAGAATATCTGCAATATCAATCTCTAATACTAATTTTGGATGGGTGAGGTGGGACAGCAAATGTGAGGGATTGTCCAAGATATTAGCATTTTCACTTCAAATAGAATTTATAATATGATTATAAATGGCAATATCGTTGCTATTCTGAGCTTCTGGTAGCAACTGATTGTTGGATGAATCTGATTGTGAGAGATTTAATTCGGACATATTTGCACTTGCACACTAACTGAAATCGAAGTTACAGAATTAGTATCAACAATTATGTTCTTCTTGTAAGAATTATGTTCTTCTTCAAGAATACCAAAATGACAATATGATAAACTCATGATGACACATTTCAAATATACATCAAATGGAAGCTCATCTTTAAAACAACAACAAAGCTTGTAATTAAAACAGCCCAAAAAAATAGTGGTTGACACATAAAGACTCACAACAGGTAGTGATTTCTCAACTTATAACTATTGGAAAGCATCAGGCAGTTATTTCTCAATTTATGCACAACAAGAGTCAAAACAGCAACTCACAAGAGCTTTCAAATCTTCCCCATGCATAATGAGCTAATCAGCCTATAGAACTATGGACAAAAACATAACTCTTAACTCGAGAACAGGACTTGAAGCCACTAATTCTACCAACCTGAATATTTTGAGAATAAATTGTCACAAACAAGCCCCTACTTTGCGCTCATAAAAATTAAATATTTGAAATGAGTATTATTTGCAACTCATTTAAAACAACAACAAAGCTAGTAATTAAAACAGCCCAAAAAAATAGTGGTTGACACATAAAGGCTCAAAACAGGTAGTCATTTCTCAATTTATGCACAACAACTCATTTCCCATGCATAATGAACTAATCAGCCCATGGAACTATGGACAAAAACATAACTCTTAACTCGAGAACAGGACTTGAAGCCGCAAATTCTAACAACATGAATACTTTGAGAATATTGGCCAAAAAACAGCTCATTTCTCATGCATACCCGAGATGTCATTTGGATAAAAAACAGATTTTCTAGCATTATTATTTGGGCAGTACAAATGCATAGAATTGTAGAAATTATGGTTCAACTAGAAAACAAGATAAAAATCAGCTCAACATAAAGTTATAGTTCAGCTAATGGACATAAAATGACATAAAATGCTAATAATATGGGGCAACAATTCAGCAAACATCATTTCCTCCTTCCCCTCTATTTACTCGGGTAAAGCCACTTTAAGTTGTTCCTCTTTCATTAATTCTTGTTGGTAGAAAAGATATATCAATATCAGTTTTAAGATGGAAAATAACATATACCATAGAAGCTAATTATTGAGAGAGTTACTATAGGTGTTTTCAAATGAGTCGTGGAAGATCTAATCCAACTAGACGAGCATATTAATGCACTCACTGTTTTTGACGAGAGTGAACTTCTGTAGTCATTTAGCACTCTTCCACCAGTACTAAATGCAGATTCGGAGGCAACTGTTGTTATTGGAATCGATAATATATCCCTTGCCATTTTTGATAAGCAAGGATACTTGAGAGTGTTCAACTTCCACCAATCAAGAATATCAAAAAGTTCAGTATTGGCCAAAAAAAGACCCTCTTCGAGATAGACTTGTAAATCTGATTTTGATGGTTGAATGGAACCAGATGAAAGAACAAAATCAGTAAATGCAAGCATGCAATCATAACTTTGTGAATTAATCGAATCACGCCGAGCATCAAGTAGCAACT